GGAGGAGGAGGAGGAGGAGGAGGAGGAGGAGGAGGGAAAACATTCTCAAATCTAACAGCTCTTGGTGATTTCATCAGCTGGCCCATATAGTTTTCTTGGTAGCAGGATGGAAGTTGATTGTCACTTTCTTCCAGGATGTGTTGTTGATTTTAAATCTAGCCTGCAGCCCTGAGATGTCCTTGTGGCCTCCCATCTGTTTATTAGCCATTTAACTTCCAACCCAGATGAGGCTGGCCAGGTACTACTGGTTCTGGGAGATGTGAGGAGCCACACATATTTGATAATGAGTGGAAGGAAGGAGTTATATATTACATCTAATTGGCTGATATGAGAAGCAGGGATTCAGCAGCTGGAATATTGTCAGTAAGGCAAACTCCACAGCAGGCAGCTATCACATATGATACTCTCTCTGTGTGTGTGTGTGTGTGTGTGTAATGTCTGTGCATGGCAGAGATGGCTGCATTGGTATGGGACCTATAGGCTGTCCAGGTATGGAAACCCTCTCTAGCAGGCCTGAGACTATGTCTATTCCAGTGTTTCTCAACTTTGGCAACTTGAAGATGTGTGGACTTCAACTCCCAGAAATCACAGAAGCCCAACCATCAGCCAGGATAAAACCCTCCCAAATTCCCTCCTGAATTTGAGAGCAAAGAAGAAACAGCATCTGGGTTGACAGAGAGCTAAAAGAACCCCAAGTGGGTTTGCCTCAATTGTCAGTTTGGATTTTGTATCCCTCCCTTGAAAGGTTGGATGCTTCTCACCTTGTCGAGATGGGGCAACCAACTGAAAAAGAGCTGCAGAGTGTCTGCACCAAGCAATAAGCCTTATGCAGCTGGCGAAGTGGCCTGTCGCCTGCCAAAGTTGATGGGGGTTAATGAATGTAATTGCTTTTAAGATGACGCAAGACTCTTTGATGGCTTTGATGCAAAAGGCCTGGCTACCCCTATGGAAAGTTGCTATGTCACCACTGTAGCTTGGCCACTGTCCCTCTGAGGGTGGGGGGAGGGAGAGGCAGAGGGTGGAGAGATGATCTGATACCTCCTCCCTCTTTCTGAGAAACGTTTGGCTGCCTTCTCTGTAAAACCAGAGCAGCTATAGCAGAGGGAGTGCCTTTCATGCATTCAACAAGCTTCCCAACCCGGCTCTGATTTCAGGCCCCAGCAAACATCTGGCAACATGGAGGTGTCTTTTGTCCTCTGCCTTCTCGCAGCATCCATTACTCTGGGTGAGTATCTTCGTTTGGGATGATTTATGATTGAAGGGTTCCGCTTCTGGCCAATCAGTTCCAACCCTTCCACTGTCCTGGGGAAGGAAGAAATTGCCAATGTTCATTAACTCACTTTGAAGTATTCCCCCCCTCAACTTTTAGAATGATCATCTCATCCGTTGTAGAGATAAATATGGGATGGCCTTTGGTGATAACACGTTGAAACGGGACTAGTGCTGCCATTAAGAAGGGTGAAAGGATTTGCTTCAGTCAATGCAAAGTGTGTGTTTCAATGGGTGTGTGTCTGTGTGTGTATGGAATAGAGTCAAAAGGTGTTGCCTAAGTGGCGCAAGACTTGTGTTGTCCTTTATAGTATGTGTGGACAGTTGTGCTTGGGCTCAGGTAGGCAAACTGTTGATGCTGGATCACATGCATTCCCAAGTATCTCTGGAGGCTTTGAAATCTGAGGACTATGTGCTGCTGGATACTTGCCAAGTATCTGGGCAGAAACACCCCAGCCTGAGAAGCAAATTGATGGCAATTCTCATTTTTATCGTTAATCTTATTTTTTATGTTTTATTGATTTTATTGTAATTCCTTTGATTGTTGTGAGCCGCCCAGAGTTGCTGACAGTCAGGCAACATACAAATTTAATAAATTATGGTTGGTCGTACAGTCAGCCAGATGTTTTGACTGCATTTGGCATTTTTATCCACCTAACGAGTCCTTCCCAAGGACCTGGGATCGGCAGATATTGCTGTTTGATAGTGTTAAAGGTATCCTCACAGGATGTAAGCATTTCCAAGTAAAGCTGCCTTTTGCAATGGACGGATGGTGATTTTGTCAATCCTGATGGTCTTCAAGTGGTGCTCCAGAAGTTTTGGGATTGCACTCAAGGCACCTGTTACTACTGGTACTATCTTTGCTTTCTTTTGCCATAGTCATTCTATTTCTATTTGCAGGTCTTTGTATCTTGTGATTTTCTCCAGTTCTTTCTCTTCTCTTCTGCTGTCCCCAGGTATTATTATTACTTAACTTCAGCAAAGAAAGGAAAAGGAAAAGAGAGGCAAGGAGGAAGGAGACCAGGGAAAGGAAAGGAAAACGATTCATTTTTTACTCTTATATCCTCCACTTTTAGGACTGTCTCGAGAATGTACCTTTTGTCAGTCCAGTGGAAGGAACTGCCAAGGCACCAAGCAGATCTGCTCTGCTGCTCAAGACAAATGTGGCATAATTCTGTTGGAGAGGTCTTTCGGTAGGTGCGGGACAGTCAAAGCCAGCAGCAGGATTCAGCATGCAGTGAATCGACATTGTTCTGAATGGTCTCTTCTAGGGGCTGGGTTGGTTTTATCCTGCAGGCTAAGAAATGCACTACATCCGTGCCCTGTGGTTTCATTACTTGGGCTTCCCAATTTCGAGAAACCAAACTTTTCTGTGCCTGTCAGTTTCTAGCCACCCGAAACAGCTTTTTGCTGGGGTGGCTAGAAACAGTAAAGAGCATTCCGAAGTACTTCAAACACTGACATGCTTTGCTAGATTCATGTTCTTCTTTTCCCTGGGAGTGTGTCTGTGTGTTTGTGTGAAGCACAGCTGAGACACACCTCTCTCTCACTGGTCATCACGGAGCCTCATGATGAGAGCTGCATCCATCAACTACCAACTTCTTAGATTGGCTAATCACAGCTGGAGAGCAGGGAAGGGAATAAGAGAGAGATGACCTCCAGGTTTATTGCGACGTCAGTACCAGGCTGTGAGTCATAGCTGTGGGCAAATATGCAGGGGAAATGATAGGAGGAAGAAAAGTGGGACAGGTTGGTCCTGCAGGAACATAGGCTGAAGCCATAACTCTTTCTGGGAAGGCTGAATTCACCCAGTGCCTGGTTTAATGGAACAACACTTGCATTCATCTTATATGTGATGCCCAAAGAATGATATTATGGCTTAATCTGGTGGCCTGGGGCAGACCACAGGCTAAGGCAATGAGCAGGATCCCACACTGAGCTGAACCATGAACAACCCAACCATGGTGACCTTGTCTAATATGGTGTGCAAACCCAACCAAGAGTTTGTAAAGCCAACTCTTTGAAGGATTACCAGGCATGAAGAATGTTGAAAGTCTCTACCCGATTTCTAGAGAGAGAAATTGGGTAGTCGCTTTCTCTAAATTGTTCCAGGGGAAGGGGAAATGTTTTAGGAGAAGATGGAGACCACTGGAGGAAATGGACAATATGATGAAAAGCAGCATGTTCAGATCCACTTCTGTTGTCTGGTTGTGGCCACCTCCCCGATGCCTTTGGTTCAAGACAATGCAGTGGGTGTGGTCAGGGTAAAAATTAGAATGGACTTCATTGAAACGTAATGCTTTTAATGAAACACGATCAATATGCTTTCTCCTCGTATATTTCATAATTCTTTCTTTTTTTAGCTTTCATTTGTTAAAAGGGTTTTTTTATTTATTTCATTTTATCATTTTGCTTGAGCTTTGACATTTTTTTAAAGATACAAGAAAAAGATACATAAAGCAATGTAAGGAAGAAACAACTACTAGGGAAGCTGGAGTAAAAACATTTTATATTAAAAGGAAAAAAAAACTTTTTAGTGATGAATTCTCCCCTTCTCTTCCTTTTGTTTCCTTAACCATTAACCACAACCTAAATATTTGTACTTCACATTGCATGTTGAAGAATGAAGGTTATTTCTAGTATCTCTTTAAGTCATTTCATCTGTTATTTTTAACAGGTCTCATAACTCTTTTCCTATAAACCATATTTCAAATGTCTACATTTGCCTTGCTGTGGGATGTGTAGTATATAAGGGGGACATTCTTTCTTAAATTTGGCTAGGCTTCTATTACCAATATACGTATACTGTTATCTGCTACCTTAAAATATTCAGTTCAGTGGCAATTTTTGCATGACCTGGGCAAGTGATAACCCAAGACTTTAGAGGTGGACATGTGATCCCTTGGGCAAGACTGATGGGTTAACTGGGGAATTTTGTATATGGGAAAAGGTGCTAGTGATGTGGGAGAGCCAATGTTTTACTTGAAGCTTACTGTAGTTTCTTGGACATGAATAAAAGAACTCACGTTCCAACTTATCTGGAGGGCAGCAGATTGGGGTACGCTAAGGTAGAAACCTTGGGAACCTAGAGAAGTAGGGGAAGCTAGAAGTTCATGCTCTGACTCGAACTCACAAGATGCTGAGCAATAGGGTCAACAGCTTCATTGTTGCAGACACCATATCTTCTTTTGGATCCCTACAGGACCAACCAAACAGGCGACCATGAAGAGCTGTATCCATTCAGAGGAGTGTAACAAGGGCCTGGCTGTTCTAGATATGGGCAAGAACCAGAATATCTTGGGTCAAGTTTCCTGCTGCGAGGGCGATCAATGCACCAATCCTGCAAGATGTACAATTTTGGGCTCTCCCTTTGTTTCCTTTTCTCTGATTCTTTCATCCTGTTTTCCTCTCCCATCTAAAGATAAATCTCCTGCACGGGATCATACCTTGTGGTGGGGATACATTGCAGTGGGTTTGTAATGGATGGCATGAGCAGAGAAGATTCTGGAATGGAGGTTCAAGGTTGTCAGGAGGGAGGGGAGACATTCCAGAGCTAGCACCTCCTCAGCCCACCACAAGAGTGTGGGAAGATGAAGAGGAGGAGGCTAGCCCCTCCCTAGAGTCTCATGTGGTATATCCACTAGTTGCTTTAGCATAAGTTTAGTCTGGTGAGATTCTGTCAATATTAGGTGCAAGCTAATAAAGAAGCTATTCTGGTCTGGACCGTCTCTTTGCTGTTCTTGGGCTGGGCCTGACAGGGATGTAAAGTAGCATGACGTTCACAGGCAGGTACACCATCTAGGAGAGGGGCATTAGAAATTCTTCAGAGTCCCAGGCTGAGGATCCTCCTGCATTTTCATACCATCTCTCATTCCATTCCGTGAAAGAGAATTAGCTTTATTCGGTGGAGAGTTTGAAGGCCCTTGGGAAGCATGGGATTATTTTAACCCAGGGTTTCTCAACCTTGGGAACTTTAAGATGTGTGGACTTCAACATCCATAATTCCCCAGCCAGCATGGATTTTGGAATTATGGATGTTGAAGTCTACACATCTTAAAGTTCCCAAGGTTGAGAAACACTGCTTTAACCCAAGACATACAAACTAAGGCACCAGGGTCAACATGGCTCCTGAAAAGGAAGGACAAAATCTCCAGAGCCACAAAGGTCTGCTAAATTGTAATCTTTCAAAGAATCATGGAAGAGAAATAAATTAAACAGGTGGGGAGCAATCATAGTAACCACATTCAATGAAGTTCCTTTTAATGACCATTCATGTCATTACATTAAATCCCCTCGTTGTTATTCTTAATCTGCAGGTCTGCCCCCTTTTTTGTCTTTGCATAATATGAGGGAGAGTGGTTTCAGTCTACTAGGCAAAGGCCACACAACCCCAGTTGTGCATTCGTGCTTTAACTTCACTATTTCTTCTTTTCAAAGGCTAAAAATCCCCCAGATAACAGGACAAAGTAATCAGACTCTGTTTCAGTGAAGAGGCCAACAGATCAGTTGGTCAAGAGTGTTGGCAGGAACTGAGAAAATGGCTGGGGAAGGAAACTATTGATTTTTGAGTTTCTCACCCTTACCTTGTGGTCATCCCAACTACTTTAATATTCTTCTATCTCACACTTATCTCTTCTTTCCTGCAGTGCCCCCCAGAAAAACTGTAACCACCAATACGAAAAGATGCCCAGCTTGCTATACGGAGCCAAAAGAACAGAGTGGATGCGAGGAGAAAATGATTGACTGTATTGGACAGGACGAGATATATTGTGCAGAGCTCTTTCTTCAAACGAAAGAAGGTAAAACATACAGATTCATGCCCACTATTCAGGATTTTATCCTGCCAGTTAGGAAATCCAGTTTCTGAATGGAAATTGCCATGATCTAAAAGGCCAGATTTTGGAGGTCCACCATGATCTGAATGTCTCCGTTGGTGGTGGTTGGAGAGGGGGTCTACCCACGATTCCTGTGAAATGCACACATACCCAGAGAAATATTTCCAAATTATGCAGGAGTTTTGTTTCTATGGATGGAATTTCTCTTTTCTATTGTTTTGAATTGTGTAGTTTAGACAGTGGCTGGTCATGTGCAACAAAAGACATAAAACAACCTAAAAAGCTTATCTGCTATTTTTGTTACTATCACTTCTGTTTGTTCCTTTTTAAATAACGGTTTTGTCAGCAAGGTTCTAAGTACAAGGGTTATAGTCGCATTGCTACTCAAAATCTGCCTGGACAGAATTTCCTCCGGAATGGAACATGGGGAATCAGAAAGTGTGCAAAGTGCTGCAGAAAGAATCAGACAATAAAACCCAGGACATTTGTACATAACTCTGGTCCACATCACCCTAAATAAATCCAGAAACACCGTATCTTCACAATTCTTTCCTCTGAAAGAATTTCAAAAGCACGTTCTTGATCAGCGGCATCTGGGGAGGGCTACAAGGTAGACCAGACTACAAAACCAAGGCCGTATAGGTCAGGACTACTTTTATTGTAGCAGTTCTAGTACCAGAATCTTGCAAGTCTGAATGTGCTCCCCTGCTCCCTTCACTTTCTATGAACTAGGGAGGGTCTTGTCTGAGACATTTTCTTAAGTTATTTTCTTGATCTGGGCTCAAGCCCCTCTTATCTGACCCTCTTATTTATTTTATTTACAGAATGTACAGTATATGGCTGCCTATCTCATATAATGATCCTAGATGGATCACAACAATCAATAAAAACAGAGATAAAAACCAAACCACCCTTCCATCAGACGCTGGACCAAACAGCCTCCTATCTCATCCCCCGTCCTAGCCCAACTCTTCCACCTCCTGTTCTTCAAGGCCATTCCCTATGCCCTCTTAATCAGGGGAGGGAGGTCAAAATCTGAAAAGTGGCAGAGGTGGCTTTGCAATATGTGTATAAAAGAGGCAGGGTTTCAATTGCCAGGTTGCATTCACCAACCTGCAGATTTTTGCTCCTCACTTCAGATGCCATTGCTCTGTATCATCCAGTTAAATGAGAGCTGGTAGGGGAAATAAATATGTAGCATTCCTCTGACCAATAATAGTGAGGTAAGGGTGAGGTAGAGGATCAGTTTTGACCCTTGACTTTAGAAGCTGTTCTACATTTTCAGTGGCTACTTCCTCTTTCAATCACAGGACCACTGTCCATGGTACTGAACCCAAACCACTGGATTACAGTGTAGTGTCCACATCTGTCCAAGGCTGGGATGGCCCCTTTGCATTGGCTGTGCTCACTCAACATGCTTAACCTAATTATCAAATAAACCCCTTTTCTGGGTTTGCACAATACATTCAGCCACAAGCTAATCAAGCAGTTCAGGTCCATGAAATATGCTAAGTCACCAAAAACCCAACCCAGCCCAAACAAAATCTCCTAAACAATTCAGCCATAGCCAAGCTTGGCCTGTAATGGGACTATACCTGCTAAATCTTCACCTGATGAAGCCCATTGTGTGAATACAGCTTCATGCCCTCTTGCCATGTATATATGCAGAAAGCAGAAGGAAGTTTCCTCGGGGTCCTAGCTTCTCTCTTTTTCTCTCCCACATTGCTCCAAGTTAGCTAGGTCCCAGTTGACAGCTGTCTCCTCTCATTCTCTTTGCAGGAGGAAAAAATATGACCATCACCATGAAGGGATGTGCCAATGAGGCTTTCTGTGAGAAGAAGGAGATTTCAGCCATTGATAGCACATTTACTTTACTCCCCAACAGCATTTGTAGGAATGCTACTGGGGCAGTTGACACCATGGCTGGATCATTTGGACTCTTCCTCTCAGCTCAGGCTGGCCTCTTGTTGGTGACCATCTTTTCTTGATATGTCCCCAGCATTAAAACTCAGATCTTGCTTGTGAATCCTCCCCCTTTCCATTGGTTATGCCTCTTTGGCTTCATGCAGACCATCAGCTTTTTGGAAAATGCAGCGCTTTCTTTGTGCCTTGAGGATTGATTCTTTTTTGTGTGTTTCACCATACTCTCTGCTGGTATGCAGAAAATATAGGCCCGACATCAGCCCCTATTTTTTTTTCAAGAGGGTCGATTGCCAGCTGCTAAAGGCTCTTCCCAGCACTGCTCCTCCTCTTCTTAGCTCTGTTACAATTGACCGGCCCACCCTGAACATGTGAGCTGTGAAAGTTGCACGGAAAGCAGCAGGACCTGTTTGCTTTGCCCTCCCATCCAGCAGAGATGAAAATGGACACCAAGGAAGTCAAAGAAATGAGAAGGAGCAAGAAGAATGAAAAAAGAGGTGGTCTGCTCAGAAGATGGGCCTTCTGAGGGCCTATTGCCAAAAGTTGCCCCGAATCCCCACCCAGCATTGATGGGGGTTCTCATGGTTGAGAACAGAGTGGAGGGGTGCTACTGGTTACTGGACACTGAAGAGAGTTTGCTGTGGCAGCATGGAGTTAAGGCTGCAGCATCATGGCCACACTTCATGGAAACCATTGACTGGCATCCATGGTGTGAGGTAAAGAAGTCAAGATGGTGGTCATGGTAAAGTGAGTGTACATGTACAAAGGATCAGGGCTTTGATCATGCTACTATAATCTTCTCCCTGTGGACACTGGTGTCATGTTCATGGTGTTGGCTGAGTTAGACCAGAGTAGGCAACCCATGGGCTAAGGTCTACAGGTGACTCAAACCCCATTTGTATATGTTTCTTATGTCCTATCATGTATAAACCATCCTAAACTGACCACCTCTAGACAGTGTGCAAGAACAAACCCCTAAAATGGAATATATCTACCAATTAATATAATAATCAAGCCAAACACAACAGAGACAATGAAGCTGTCCATCAGAGAGGGATGGCCCCCAAACATCCTAAGCGCTGTAGGCCTAATGAAACAGGTTGGTTTTAAGGGCCTTCCTGAATGAGAAGAGAGTAGGGCCAATCACACTTCTGGGGATATGTTCCATGTGGGGGATACTGATGAGAAGACTTGGTCCTTCAATTTTTGAGCAAGATCTTTGCTTCCTCTGATATTTTCAGAGATGGATCTCAAAGATACTTCAGTTATGGAACCTGGGACTACCTGCATGCGATATGCTGGGCCACCAAGCTATAGGCTACTGAGGTAAGTCTGCTTCCTGCCTCCCATCAGCAAATACACTTTCCCTCATGCTGTGCCTCCACACAGCAGTTGCCAAATCATTCTCCTCCTCCACTGCAGGTCTGTTCAAATCAGTTTCTGCAAAATGTGGAGCACACCTGGGGAAAGTCTGACCTAATTCCACAGCAATGCCATTCACATCACTTCATCTCTTTGTATAGCCCATAAAATGCATGATTTTTTTCTACTTGGTACCTTCTTGGCTGGAGATGATAGGAATTACGATGTAGCGGGACCAGATTCAGAAGGATTAACATAGTGTTATGTAACCTTTGAGGGCTGAACATTATAAACAAGCACCAGGTTATGTTCACTTCTGAGTTTTATTCCATGTGGTCCTCCAGACGTTCCAGAACTTCCAGCATCCTTTATTACTGGCTATGATGCTTATGAGCTCTGGGAACTGAAGTGTGGCACCCTCTAGAATATCATAAGATATCCTCTCCCTCATTACTAGGAAAAATATCCTTTGGTACAAGGCAACATACCTGTTATTTGAGTCTCTCTCCCTTACCCACTACAGTCCTACATCCTATATTCTGTATTTTCTGGAAGTTCTTCCAAGTTCTTTCTGAGCCCATGTCATGGATTGCAATGTCCTCAAGAACTTGATTAAGGGGAAAAAATGACTACTTTTGCATGCGCTAGAGCACTTGCTACTTCAATCATTTCTTGCCTATGTACTCTTCAGATGTATTGGGGTTTCAAAGTCCAGAGTTCCTTGAGCTTTTTCTGGAACTACGTGATTGGAAGAATCATGTTTCCCTTAGAGTACAGAAGGGAGGAAATTGGGAGGAGTTAAGTACCAACCAGGCTGAGCTTGGAGTGCTTCATCTACCCAATGCAAACCTCCATCTCAAATCCCAAAACTAAAATAGTTTTATTCTACCAAAATTATCTCTTCTGTGTCAAGAGTCATTCACACTGAGGTCTGTTTTCAGCATAACTCTGGAATTTTTAATTTTAAATGTTAGGTATTATTTGCAGGATTCCTGATGGCAACATCCAATGATTGTGTTAGCACCATAAATCAGGATGATGAAATCCTGATTCACTTAATATTTGAGGCAGACTCATGTCTATGATTACTGGGTGTGAAAAATGGAATGCCAAACTTTTGCGAAGGTATAACAGCTGAACATAACATCTGCTTTATGCCATATGGCTTTTCTGTAGGAATTTCTGTACAAGGTGACTTGCTTATGAACCAACGTCATATAACCAGTAATAAGTAATATGGAGTCCTTGGTGCTCTCTGAGCTTGGTTGTTTGCTTGCAGACATTTCACTACCCAGCTAGGTAACATCATCAGTGCGAGAGAGTGTGGAGTTTGCTCCCTGTTCATATAGAGTAGCTTGCCCTGCCAATGTTGGTGGGGGTGTGGTTTTCTCCTTGGTAGTTCCTTGATAGATTTACACACCATTCAAAAGAGACAATAAAAAAGCTAAGAAGGAAACCAAAAGACCCAAACAAAAAGACCAGGTTCTCTCCAGCAGCCAACACTCAGATAAGCAGGGATTAACACCAGACAAACAATCAAGCAGAAAACAATACCCTAATCAAGAAATTACCAAGGAGAAAACCACCCTTCCACCAATACTGTCAAGGCAAGCTACTGTATATAACAGGGAGCAAAACCCCACACTCACTCGCAATGATGATGTTACCTAGTTGGGTAATGAAATATCTGCAAGCAAACAACCAAGCTCTGAGAGGACCATGGACTCCACAGTTCAACCCTGAGCTACAGATATGCTCTTCTATTGGAATAAGTTATGTTTCACAATATAAAGGAATATTAAAAAGTGCTGAGATTAAGTGTTCTTTCAAGTCATGCCAGTGAAAAGTAATCATAAAGAATTTCTACTAAATAAAAGTGTTTCCAAAGCTTGTTTCAATGTGTAAAGGGAGGGGACTCTGCTAGTTTTCTTCCAGAGAAGTGATCCAATATTGGGGTCCTGGTCCAGAAGAGGTTGGAATTCTGCAGGCTGGTTGGATTTGATAGGAAGCCGAAGGGAAAGTACTGAGATTATAACTTCCGTGCAATGTATTCGTACAGAATCTGTATCTGTATTTAGGTGGAAGCTAACCGGGCACCAAAAATGTAGGGCTTAAAAGGTCAAAACCAGCATTTTCAACTGAACCTGGAAACAACTGGAAACTCTATATAATTGCGTGAGGATAGTTTTTGATAATGCCAACACTCTACACTATTTCCCAGGTGCACTTTGGACCAACTGAAATGTCCATGCTGTCTGCTTTATGTATATATTTATTTATTTAAATGTAAAGGTAATCCTACATGGCGGTCATTCCATAATTCAATTTGGGTATTATCAATTCATGGCTGACTAAATAATCAGTTACACAGAATGAAAACAGATTTGCAAGGAAAGTTTTAAGAAACAGTGTTCTATTTTTGGACATGTTCCACGGACACATTGATACACGCTAGTTTTACCGATGCTAAATGATGTGGAAACATTTTTGGGGGAGGAATAATAAGTATTTGTTTCCCTTACAAGCACTTCCTCCCCCTTCTCTGTTAATGTTTTTCATAAAACTCTTCTTTTTAAAATCATCTTCTTAAGAACATGTCATGAGATCCTGATGGGACGTGCAAAGTCCTCTGTGATTTTTCTGTGTTATAATCCTGACTGTGAAAAGGCACATTGGAAAGAGAAATTGCTTTGGCACAATAAATGTTCTTGTGGGTACTGTAAATTGTTGTGAGTTTTGTTCTTTTTGGCAGCAGATGGATATATGCATAAACAGAGAGAACATCCAACTCCTGCTTCTATCACCTAATAAATAAATACAGCATTAGGAAAGAAGCATATTAAAGCATACATCCTGTGGGTTTGGATCAGGTATTTTGAGCTGGTCAGAGCTTTCAATAGTTACCAAGATCATGGTTAAGGCTAGAGTACTGCAATGCTCTGTATGTAGGGCCACCCTTGAAGAATGTCCACTGTAAAATATAGCATGTAGGCTATTATCCAGTTCATGAGGCTGGAATCTTATTATCTCCATACTAAAACTCCTTCACTGATTCCCAGTTGTTTTCCAAGCCCAGATATTATTTTTAATAACAATGATTTAGGACCTGATTATTTGAGCAATTGCCTATTACAAAATTAATCTATCTGGGCAGTAAAATTGGCAAAGGAGGTCTTCTTAATTACTCTGGGCCTTTCAGACGTGGATTTCTCTGTTAGACAGGCAGAAGGGAGCCTTCTCAAGCAATGTTCTCAAACCACTGTAATGGAGTTCTTAATGAGTCACATCTATTTTTCCCTTTTCCGGCAAGCAATTAAGACTTTTCTCCATAGCCTTCTGAATGATAGAAGTCATGTTCTTTGCTGGTTTTTGGTTTGTTTGTTTTTTTAATTTACATTTTCTTTTAGACTTTTGGTTACCTTGAATTCTCTACAGTGAGGGTGGTCAACCTTGGAGGCACCATGCCCTCTTAAGATGATAATTTCTGGCACCATCATGAATAAAACAAATGATTTCATTGGGATGAGGTTTGGGCAAGAAAGCAAGGTAAACCCTTTTAAGAATCCCAGTTTAATCTATAGAGCAGAAAACTCCTGAAAGCAAGGAGTCAAGCCCAGATGAGTTTTGACAGCATTCCTACTCTGTCTGTTCAAGGGAAATCAGCTTGTTGACTTGTTGGTTCAATGTGACGCTCCCTCCCCACAATTGTTTGTGACTCTTAGGAGGATCCTAACTTCAGCTTGAGAACCCCTGCCCTGCAGGTGGAAAAATAGAACAGAAAATGAAATAATGGCCACTCCAAAAAACATTTTAAAAAATCAGTGCCCTGAGTATCCAAAGCTAAGGGAAAGCAAAGGGCCTTGTGTTGTCCTATCCTGTGATGGCATCATGGAGAAAACATGTTCCCTACCTGGGGCTGCCTTTGAAGAGTATTCGGAGGCTTGGCATTGGGATGGGTTATTTGAGGGACCGCCTCTCCCCACTGACATCTACCTATCCCATCAGATCTAAGAGAAGAGGTTTGTTGTGAGTTCCAACATCCATCCTGCCAGATGACCTCCACTAGAGCAGTGTTTCTCAACCTTGGCCACTTGAAGATGTGTGGACTTTAACTCCCAGAATTCCCCAGCCAGTGTTGACGTCCACACCTCTTAAAGTTCGCAAGGTTGAGAAACACTGATTTAGAAGTAAACTCAGTAAGTTCTTCTGAGCCTATGAAAGCCCTTCAGCCAATCTCTAGAACATCAAGAATATTGTTATTACCTTCACAACCCAAGGGTCTAGACCACTGTTGTCCAAACTTGGCCACTTTAAGATGAGTGGACTTTAACTCCCATAATTCCCCAGCCAGCATGGCTGGCTGGGGAATTCTGGGAGTTGAAGTCCACTCATCTTAAAGTGGCCAAGTTTGGACAACACTGGTCTAGAACCTTGTATTTATTTTTTCCCAATGGAAGTTTCAGAATGTTCCACCAATCCATTATTCTATTCTTCTGCTGTCCAGTAGATACATTGTCTTGGCTATTATCCAGGGCTTAAAAGCCATGAGAAGGGGGCGAAGGAGACAGAAAAAAATCATTAAGTGCTCAGCAGCACTTAAAACATTAAAACGATAAGAATAAAAACAAAAATATGAGTAGCATTCATCAGCTGAAGAGAGGAGGGAAGGAAAAAAATCCCTGGGACCCTCCTACTGATGCTTTTGGAAACAGGCATCTCATCGGTTTCCTACAGCCTCAGCCCTAGGAAACGCCGAATAAAAATATACAAG